TTCACTTATCAGCAAGGATCGATACCCATTGCTACTAAAGGTGTATGGAAAAATAAGCATTCTCATGTGCTTCTTATGAATTCGTATTTGGAGTCAACTGAGTCTGCAAATACATGTACCCTTTGGAGACAATTTGGCAATTAAATCTAAAAATGCACGTACCTTTTGACCTAGCATTCACTTCTAGGATTTTATCCTAGTTAGAAACATTACCACAAGAGTGCCAAGAAATATAGACAAGAATATTTATTGAAGCATTATTTGTAATAGTAAGAATTTGGAGATAACCTCAAACTTATGTTACTTAGGATTTACCCAGGCAGTAATTTAAGGTAATGGCTAATAATAGGATCTATTGACTAAACTGTCTGAATTAGTATCTCTCTCTCTCTCTCTCTCTTTCTCTCTTTCTCTTTTTCTCTCAAGCCCACATCTTTCCCCACATCCTTCTTTCCCCAGAGTGTACACTGTCTCTCACTTGGGCATACCCAAGCCTTTCCCTCTCACCCCAGGTGCATTCTCTATGCTTTCCCCCACCCCCAAGCTCCTAGCGCCCTTCTTTTGCCTCTGTAACTTATTTCCTGAGTCCAAACAGCCCAGTTGGCTCACTTCTTCCACAACTCACATCTTATACCTTTCTCTCTCTCTCTCTCTCTCTCTCTCTCTCTCTCTCTCTCTCTCTCTCTCTCTCTCTCTCTCTCTCTCTCTCTCTCTCTCTCTCTCTCTCTCTCTCTCTCTCTCTCTCTCTCTCTCTCTCTCTCTCTCTCTCTCTCACACACACACACACACACACACACAATCTCTGCTATAGAACTTCTTAGCCCTGTGATCTTTGGCAGATTATTCGGTCTCTCTTAGCTTCAGTTTCTTTACTTGTTAAACGAAGTTTACAATATTAATAAATTGCATTTTAGGATTAAATGATAACTTCAGTGCTTAGCATAGTGCCTAGCACATACATGGGTCAATAATTATAATTATTACTGTGCTGGTATTATAATATTTAAGTGTGAGGTATATTTATATGTACTGGCATCTGATATATTAAGTAACAGAAACATTGCATGACAAGGCTTTGAAAAAATCTAAAGGTACATCAGATTGCTTACTATGTTCATGTTGTGGGGCAGACATTAGTAGAACACTTACTTTCTATGTTATAAACAAGTTTATAGCATAAAAGCTTTTGGAAACTTGTTTATAGTATTTCTTTTATTTACAGATATAAACTTTTAAAAGACAGGCAGAAAACAAGGTTAAAAAAGAAAACAGGCAGGCACTACACTGTATTAAAAATACTTCCACAATGTTTGCTGCTTGAAAAATACTAGCCCTGCTTGAGGGTTCACATGCCTTGGGTGACTGGACCTAAACTTGCATCAGGTTCCGGAATAAGGGGGAGAGAGAAAGAATTAAAATGATGCCTCTGACATAATGGTGTAGGAGCTAGCCTCCCACATACCACTTCCTGTGGGGCCCCGCCCTCCCTGAAACGTACAACATTTATGTAGTGAGTAATCCTTCCCCTCTGCCACAGAAATGAAATTATTTATGATGGCTACAAAACTTTTTTTTAAAATATATATTTTATTGATTTTAGAGAGGAAAGGAGTAGGGGAGTGAGAAACATCAATGATGAGAGAGAATCATTGATCGGCTGCCTCTTGCATTCCATACTGGGGATCGAGCCTGCAACCCAGGCATGTGCCCTGACTGGGAATTAAACCGTGCCTCCTGGTTCACAGGTCAGTGCCCTCCACTGAGCCATGCTGGTCAGCATATGTGTTTGTTTATTTTGAGTAAATACCTAAGAGTAGAATATGATTCACATATCTGAGAGTAGAATATAATCCAAGAGTAGAGTTGTGTATTTGACTTGTAAAAAAATCTTATAATCATTCTTAAATCCTTTCTTTTTTAAATATATTTTTTTTATTGATTTCATAGATGAAGGGAGATAGAAACATAAATGATGGGAGAGAAACATTGATTGGTTGCCTCCTGCACATCCTCTACTGGGGATCGAACCTGCAACCCAGGCATGTGCCTGACCGGGAATCGAACCTGTGAACTTTTGGTTCATAGGTCGATGTTCAATCTCTGAGCCACACCAGTAGGGCAAATATACAGTGTGGTAGTAGTAGTAATTTATATTTACATTGTGGTGCAACAGATCTCTAGAACTTTATCAGCTTGCAAAACTGACACTTTACCCACAGCCCCAACAACATTTTTTTTGAATTGGACTACTTTATTTTTATTAAAAATTTTAATTTGGCATTATTATAGGTGTCTTTCCTCCTCATCCCCCTTTGCCCATCTCCACCCACAGAGTTGGACTACTTTAGATACTTTATATTAGTAGAATCATACATGTCTTTTTGTAACTTGCAGATTGCACTTACTATTTGTTTTAGCATGTGATAAGATTTCCTTTTCAAGGCTGAATAATATTCCACTGTTTGTATACACATTTTCTTTATCCATATGTTTTTTTGTTTTTTAAAATATATTTTTATTGATTTCGGAGAGGAAGGGAGAGGGAGAGAGAGCTAGAAACATCAATGATGAGAGAGAATCATTGATTGGCTGCCTTCTGCATGCCCCCTAGTGGGGATCGAGCCCGCAACCGGGCATGTGCCCTTGACTGGAATTGAATCTGGGACCCTTCAGTCCCCAGGCCAACGCTCTATCCACTGAGCCAAATACAAGGGCTCTTTATCCATGTGTTCATGGACATTTGAGTTGCTTCCATCTCTTAGCTCTTGTGAATAATGCTGCAGTGATCACAGGTTTGCAGATACCTCTTTGAGATACTGATAGCAATTCTTTTGGATATATACCCAGAAGTGGAGTTGCAGGATCATTTAATTCTTTTTTTAGGAAACTCCATACTGTTTTATAGCAACTGCACTATTTTTGTATTTGTAACCACAGTGCACAAGGGTCCCAATTTTTCTGCATCCTCACTAACGCTTGTTATTTTCTGTTTTTTTGTTTTTTATAGTAGCATTCCTAATGGGTATAAGATGGTATCTCATTATAATTTGATTTGCATTTCTCTAATGATTAGTAATGTTGAGCATCTTTTTAGATGCTTGTTAGCCATCCTATATAATAAAAGGCTAATATGCAAATTGTCCCCATGGGTGGGAGTTCGACTAACTGGGAGTTTGACATGCGCTAACCACCAGGGGGCGGCGCGGAACATGGCGGGCGTCGGCGATGCAGCGCTGGCAGCGGGCGGCAGTAGAGGCACTGCCGGCCCTGATGGGCCCCGACCAGAGCGGGACAGCGGCGGGATGGTGGAGCAGGTGAGCGGGTAGCACTAGGCCAAGGCGGGGATGATCGGCGAGCAGGCAGCGCCAGGCCAAGGCCGGTGCAGGCGGGGGCCCTCATTGCTGGCCAGGCCTAGGGACCCTATCCGTGCAAGAATTTTGTGCACCAGGCCTCTAGTTTGTATATTTTCTTTGGAGAAATGTCTGTTCAAGAGTTTTGCTTATTTTAAAATTGGGTTGGCTTTTTGTTGTTGAGTTGTAGGAGTTCTTTATATATTTCAGATATTAACCCCTTATTAGATACAGTCGGGCCTTGACTTACGAGTTTAATTTGTTCCGTGACAGAGCTTGTAACTCAAATTACTCGTATGTCAAATCAAAAAGTGAACAAGTGAGACACATGATGCTGGGCTGAATTTGCGGCGTTCACTGTGACGTTCACTGCGCCAACTAGCGGTGGGGTATTTGAAGCTGGCTCGTAACCTGAATTTTAGCTCACAACACAAAGCAAAAAATCGGCTGAGAGATGGCTCGTATCTTGAAAAACTCGTTAGTCGGGACACTCGTAAGTCAAGGCCCTACTGTATATGATTTATACATATTTTTCTCCCATTCCATGGTTGACTTCACTCTGTTGATTGTTTGTTTCTTTTTTTTTTTTTTTTTCCCAACACAATTGTTTCATTAGCAGTTGTCTGGGGTTAGAGATAAAGGCACGAAGATCTTTATGGTGACGGGACCATCCAGCGTCCAGAATACAGAGTGGACACAGGGAGGCACATCGGTGAGACGTGCCTGAGCACGTGTCCTGGGTGGTAGTGTCCTGGAACCACTGAAGCTACCAATGTTATGGGAAACTCGGTGAAGGGGACCTGGGACCTCTATGCTCTTTGAAACTTCATATAAAAATGGAATTATCTGATAATATGTGTGTTTTTAAGTGAGCTGTTTCCGTAGTTTGCCCAGTGTTGATTGTTTCTTTGATGCACAGAGGTTTTAAAGTTTGATGTGGTCCATATGTCTATTTTTGCTTTTGTTCTTTAATTTTTCTTAGCAGTATTTTGTAGTTTTCAGTGTACAGGTATATTTGGGGTTCCCCAAGATTATGCTCAGATTCAGTGTTTAGCTAGAAGGATTCACAGAACTCAGAAAGGCTGTTATATTCACTCTTCCAGTTTATTACAGTGAAGGGATACAGATTAAAACTAGCAACAGAAGAAGGAATATAGAGCAGGGTCCAGGCACAAGCTTCTAGTTGTCCTCTCCCAGTGGAGTCATGGGAACAGTGTTTAATTCTCCCAGGAACAGTGTGACCACCTGCATGGAGTATTGCCAACCAGGGAAGTGCACTTAGCCTTAATGTCCAGGAGTTTTACTGGTTATCACATAGACATGGCTGACCGTAGTTCTCTAGTTCTTCCTAAAGTCAAGCAGATACCACATGGGCTAAGACTCCCACCATAGATCACATTGTTAGCAATGTGGCCAAGGCCTCATGTAAACAGAGGCAATATATCGAAAGGGCTTAGAGGTTATCTTCCAGGAACAAGGCCAGATCTTTCTTTGTCATGTGCAGGGTTTGGACACTCCTGACCTGCTGAGTTAATCCTTTATTGTACAGTAAGCTTTTCACATCTTCTCATTCTTCAGGTCTCAGATCAAATGTCACTTCCTCAGAAAAGTATCCCATGTAATTTTTTAAAACCCTCATCCAAGGATATGTGGTTGTTTTCATTGATTTGAGAGAGAGAGAAATATCAATATGAGAGAAATATTGATTGGTTGCCTCCCATACGTGCCCCCACCGGGGATCAAACCTGCAATCTAGGTATGTGCCCAGACTGGGAATCAGACCAGCAACCTTCTGGTGCTTGGGACAATGCTCCAGTCAACTGAGCCACCCAGCCAGGGCCCAAGAATTCTTTCTCATATCACCCTGCTATAGTACCATCCCACTTTGTAATTATCTTGCTTATCATCTATCTCTATCTTGAAATCAGTTCATGAGAGCAGAAACCTCTTCTGTCTTGTTGAATACTATATTCTTGGCACCTAGTACCTGGCATTCACTGATTTTTAATTAAGGACTTGTTGAAATAGGCACTCTTTCTATTTTGCAGAGTCTTTAAACTGATACAACTCATAGGGAGGGTAATCTGGCAATAATCAGTATCTCTACTGCATGAGTACTTTGACCCAGCAATTTTACTTCAGGAAATTTATCCTACAAATATGCCCCCACACATGAAATAAGTTAATAGGGGGCATTCTGATTGCAGCAGTGTTTGTAATGGCAAAAATGTTCAAAGCAAATTAAATGTCAGTCATTAGGGGATTGGCCTAATAAATTAATTTATATACTGGCTATATAGATGATTAAAAATTGTTTTTAAGAGTAAGGATGTTCTGCCCTAGCCAGTTTTGCTCAGTGGATAGAGCATTGGCCTGCGGACTGAAAGGTCCCAGGTTCTATTCCGATCAAGGGCACATGCCTGGGTTGCAGGATCATTTCCCGGTGGGGGGATGGGAGGAGGCCTGCAGGAGGCAGCTGTTTGATGTTTGTCTCTCTCTCTTCCTCTCCCTTTCTCTCTAAAATCGATAAAAGCATTTTAAAAAAAGAATAAATAGTGTATTTGCATATAACCGAAAAAAAAGAATAAGGATGTTCTTTGTGTACTGATGTAAAAAAATCTCTAGGAGACATAGTTAAGCAAAGTGCAGGGCAGTGCATTTTTATTCAGCTACTACCATTTGTGTGATAAGGGGGAAGAAGCTATGTATTATATTTGCTTGTATGTACATGAAGAAACTCTGATAGAATTTGGAGAGAACAATGACAGTGGTAACCTGGGAGATTAGAAAACTAAGTAGATAGTTAAGTGGGAAACTTTTTATTGTACACCTTTTTATACTCAGATTTCAGAACCACATGAACTGTTTAAATAAATAAATTGTACTTTAAAAAATGAAATTAAAACATATAGTCAATTTTTAAAAATAGTATCTAAAGTACTATAAAGAGGAAGTGTGTGTGTGTGTGTGTGTGTTAAACAGTGTTCTAGTTTCCCATATCAGCTTCTGGGGGTGGGGCAGGGTGGGGTTGGCTAATGTTCTTTACAAACCAGAACATCCAGTTGAGTAATGTGAATGAGCATGCTATGATTGCCTTTCATGCTAGACTTACTCAGTGAAACTGTTCATATAGCCTAATGGGACAGCTGTGGTGCCATAGGAAGAACACAAATTTTGAAACAAGAAACTTGAATTTGACTCTGTCTCTGCTGCTTTCTGGCTGTGAGACTTTTGGACAAGTTGTTTTAGTGTTCACTTACTAACTCCTCTCAACATCTGAAAAGAATGATTGAGATATGTGAGAGTGCTTTGTACATTATCAAGTACCATATCGTGAGTTATAATTAATTGTATTTTAGTTTATTTTGTGCATAATTGACCTGTCAAGTTGGGCATAATTCTATTGCCAAACATTAGTCACAAACATAACATCCTTAGCATATTTTTCTTTCCACAGCTGTTGTATTACGTTAATGACCAGTAAGTTCATACTGTTCCTACTTTCCATCTACACTCTCTCCCTGAGAGTTCATTCATTTCCATAACTATAGAAACTAATGACCTCCCCCAACTTCTGAGCTTGAAATTCTTATTAAACTGCCTTTGGACTTTCCTGCCTGAGTGTGAATACTTGACATTTACCATCTCCCTCCTCCAGTCTGCTCATCTGGGATCCCAGTCTCAGTCAATGTCATCATCACCTTCCTACTCTCTTATGCTAGAAATCTCCAGGGTCATCCTTGACTCCTTCCTGACCATTCACAAAGCCCTTCAATTCTGCTTCTGAAGTGTGCCTTACACATCCGTTTCCATCCCCACCCAGTCAGGTTTCTTAGAAATAAGTCATAATCTGATGTGTCACTTCCTCAACCTTGAGATAATTTTTATGACTTTCTATTGCCCACAGGACGAAGTCTAAAGTCCTTGGCATGGCAAACAAGGTCCTTTACAACCTTTCCTAAGCTTTCCTTCCACCAGCCCTGACAGACCCTGTTCTCCAGCCAACTCTGGAGTACTCACTGGTTGTCTGTCCAGCACTTTCACATGTCTGCGCCACAGTTCATGTGGTCTCTGCCTGGAGCCCACTTACCTTACATTCACTCTTGAAGTTTCTGTTCAAAAATCATATATTTTATGTTGCCTTTCTTGACCTCACAGAATTATAGTCCTGTAGCACTTTATTTTTATCTCTAATATAATGTTTATTCTATATTGAAACTAACTTAGGGACTTCTTAAGGATAGCAAGCATCTAGATCTTACTAACTTCTGTATTGCCACAGAAGAGTACCTGGAATATAGAATTTTCATAATTACCTGTGGGATAAATATATTGAAAGTGGAGTAAAAGAGAACTCAGCTCACAGTCTGCAGAGCTCTTGTGTTGTCTTGTGAACAGCAAATTGAGGTGGTTAAGAACTTGATTTCTGAAGTCAGGCATATGTGGGCTCAAACCCACTCTGTAACACTAGCTGTGGCTGTTTCCTTACCTATAAAGTGGCGATGATGGGGTATGTATGAGAATTAAATGTCAAGTACATATCAATCCTTGCTATACTGTAATAATTTTAAGTTATTATTCAGGGTGTAATGTATTTTTAATGAATAATGGTAATACTCTATTAGGTATATCTGTAGTCAGATATGAGGTATGAGAATAGCATGTTTTCCTAAGAGAGCTCTTCCTCAACCAAGCTGATTTACATCTTCCCAGCAACAGTGACTATCAACCTGTTCTGTTATCAATGAGGAGGGAGAAGAGTATCTATTATCTTTTTGTTATCTATTACTAGAGGCCCAGAGCGAGAATTTGTGCATGGGTGGGGTCCAGCTGGCCCTCCCTGATTGGAGCCTATCGGGCTGGGGCCTGCGGGGAGAGGGGGCACGGGCGGTTGGCCGGCTGGCCCCACCCCCAATTGGGGTGTTGGGGGCTGGGCTGGCCAGGAGGGGTGCTGATTGGGACCTGGATCAGGCTGGTTGGCTGCCTCAGTGCGCGCCATAGCCACTGGTCATTCCGGTCGTTCTGGTCATTCTGGCGTTCTGGTCACTGGGCTTTTATATATAGAGATTTTTATTATTGTTACTGTTAGTGTCCTTGGGATTCATTCTACCCTTTATTAAAAACTGAGTTTAGCCAAAACCGGTTTGGCTCAGTGGATAGAGTGTCAGCCTGTGGACTAAAAGGTCGCAGGTTCGATTCCGGTCAAGGGCATATACCTGGGTTGCGGGCACATCCCCAGTAGGGGATGTGCAGGAGGCAGCTGATCGATGTTTCTCTCTCATCGATGTTTCTAACTCTCTCCCTTCCTCTCTGTAAAAAATCAATAATATATATTTAAAAAAAAAACAAAAAAACAACAACTGAGTTTAGACAAGAACAGGGATACCAAAAAGGAAATCAAACTTGAAGAATAAGAACGGAGAAACCCAGGATAAGGATAAAAGTAATACAGTGGTATTTGGATTAAGAGTCCAAGAAAAGTAGAATCTAAGAAAGGTCCTCTTTCATTCCATAATTCATCAAGTATTATTGTCCCCGACTCTATTCAGGGCACAGTGGGAACTGGGCAAGGATATTATAATTGTTTAAGGCCTAATTTCTCACTGTAAAGATTTTTTTAATTGCATACTTGAGATAATTATAGATTTACATGCAATTGTAAGAAATAATTACAGAGAGATCCCTTGTACATCAGTACAGGATTTTAAGTCTTACTGGTAATGAGGTGAGATAGTTCTTCGTATAACTGGTGTAAAATCACAGATAGAAAGCACTTCATGAATTGGAAAAGCTGGGATTTCTCTGTTTGAGCTGCAGCAAATAAAGTTCTTATGTAGGTGTCAGTTTTAAGCCAATCCTCAAAGGATGAGTGTAATTGTATTAGGTTAGGAATGAAACGAGAGAGCGAGGAAAGCCAAGAACCGGGTGAAAGGGAGGACCTGGGTTCCTTTAGGGAATTTGGTAAATAATCTAGATTTCTTAACTGCACACTTCACTTCTTATAAATTGGTTCTCTTACCTCAAGTTTTTAGAACTCAAGTAATTGTGACCCTGTTGTTCATCTCAGGTCTGACTGTTACATTTTCTGTTTTTGATATAGAATAACTTGATTCTGCTGAGAGTCAGACTTACTGAAAAAGTTTTTCTTTCGCTTTTAGAATGACAGTAGAGAACGGCATGAGCACAGCAACGAAAGGCGGAGGCGGGGCAACCCTGAGCCATTATCTAATGGAGGACCTCAGGGTAACACACTGCAGGTGGTGGAACAGGATGAAGAAGAAGATGAGGAGCTGACACTGAAATATGGCGCCAAACATGTGATCATGCTCTTCGTCCCCGTGACTCTCTGTATGGTGGTGGTGGTGGCTACCATCAAATCAGTCAGCTTTTATACCCGGAAGGATGGGCAGTTGTATGTATGAATGTTTTGTTTATTATTCTCAAGGTCGTCATAGCTTTTCTTCATTGCATGTCATCGTTATCTTGAAGGCCACTGCACTGAAGGGGCATGAAGGCCGGAGAGTTCTTTCAGTCAAAAGCAATTGAGAGTGAGGCGTTATTTATTACTTAATGCTTTAAGTCATTGGTTCTCAACCTTCCTAATGCCGCGACCCTTTAATACAGTTCCTCATGTTGTGGTGACCCCAATTTCATTGTTACAAATTGAACATAATTAAAGCATAGTGATTAATCACAAAAACAATATGTAATTATATGTGTTTTCCGATGGTCTTAGGCAACCCCTGTGAAAAGGTTGTTCGACCCCAAAGGGGTCGCGACCCACAGGTTGAGAACTGCTGCTTTAAGCAAAGAAAATGAAAACTACAGAATTACATTTCCTGTATACTGTCACTAAGGGCTGAGTTTATTTGTAATGAGCCAGTAAAGCATTAAATAGTAATCTTTCCCATCTCAGGGCCATTGAGCCCATTATTCTTTGCGTGGAATGTTCTTTCTTTTTCTAATTTAGGTGGATTATGTTCTAGCATCCTTCTGATCTTGGCTTAAATGTTAATGCCAAATACAAAGGCTCTGATCCTACTAATAAAATTAGGTACTTTCTTATAGAAACCTGTTCTTTTTCACTTGTAACAATATGCAAATATAAATTTATTTACATGATTTACTCAACACCCTGGTTTCCTTCTGTACTGTAAGTGTTATCAGAGCACTTTGTTTCCAGGATGAGGTATGTAATAAAAGTTGTTAAATGAAAGGATGAAGAATTCGTACAAACTGGCACTCTCTACTCTTAGGGAACTGTTGTGTAGATTCTCTGGTGCTGTTGGTGTCAGCCCTTGATTCTTATGTCACCTAGTTCTGTCTCTAGGACCCTAGTGGGGCTCAAACAAGTTTTAAATGGATTTTAGAATTTGAAAGTGGCAAGTACCTGAAAAACTACGTGGGGTTCTGAAAGCCAAGCTATTAATTTTTGAAAGAAAGACTAAGACAATGAGTAACGGCAGATAATAGAGATAATAGCTAAAAGAGATTAATATTCTCTGTATAAATTAGATTTAACTTGGTTACATATTATAGAACAGGGATTAGTAAGTCAGAGTCCACAGAGCAGCTCTGCTTGTCACCTATTTTTGTAAATAAAGTTTTACTGGAACACAACCATGTCCATTCTTTTATATATTGTCTCTGCCTGCTTTTATATGAGAATGGCAGAGTTGAGTGGTTGCAGCAGAGGCCATATCACCCACAAAACTTAAAATATATACTCTCTGGTCTTTTGCAGAAAGTTTGCTGACCCTGTTATAGAAAATCAAACAGCTAGTTTAAATGATATACATGCTTTATCTCTCTCTGATGGAGTAGTGCAGAGCTGGTCAGTCAGTTTGGAATAGTGGGTTCACATTCATCAAGGATTCAGGCTCCTTTCTTTCTCCTTTATTGCTATACTCTAGGTAAGGGGTGGGCAAACTTTTTGACTCGAGGGCCACAATGGGTTCTTAAACTGGACCGGAGGGCCGGAACAAAAGCGTGGATGGAGTGTTTGTGTGAACTAATATAAATTCAAAGTAAACATCATTACATAAAAGGTTACGGTCTTTTTTTTTTTTAGTTTTATTCATTTCAAACGGGCTGGATCCGGCCCGCGGGCCGTAGTTTGCCCACGGCTGCTCTAGGTTATCTCAGGGTCCTATACTCTAGGTTATTATGGGTGCTGGAGCCCTAGCCTTCATTCAGACAGCAGGAAGGAGTAGGGGAGAAAAGGACATAAAACATCTCTCTCAGCAGAATTAACTCCTTTCTTAGAAGTTCCACACAATATATCTGCTTATGACTCATTGGCCATTACTTAGTCTCATGGCCACACCTGACTATAAGGGAGTCAGAACTAAAGCCTTTTAGCTGGGAACATTGGCACCAAGAATACAAGTGTTTTTGTGTGAATGAGAAACAAGGGGAAATGGATATGTGACATTATCTCAAGACAACCCCAGTTGCAGTCACCCTGAAGATGAAAGATAATATTTATAAGCCATATTACTTCCTCTGACTATCTCTTGTCCTCAGTAGTTTATGTGGCAGAATCTGGTTCTTTAGCAAATCCTAATAAGCTGTGGAGAAAGAGTATTTGATGAGGTAATTGTTTCAGGATAAGCATCCACTAGATGGAGTCAGGGTCTGGTTCACAACTCTCCATATCTTAGACATCTTCTTTTATTTTGAAGCACTATTTTTGACAGTAGCTATTTTTCTTACCGTATTTGCCGGCGTATAAGACGACTGGGCGTATAAGACGACCCCCTAACATTTCCACTCAAAATACAGAGTTTGTTATATACTCGCCGTATAAGACTACCCCCTCTTCCGCACACCTTCCACACACCAAATAAAAGGTAAAACAATATCAGATTTGATTTTAACATTTTAATTTATATTCAAATGCTTATGACATGCAGGAAAACTGTCACAAGGCTGTATGTAATCAAACATATACATAAAACAGTGCAAGTTTATTACCGGTAAACATACCGGTAATTCACTAAAGAAAACACACTCTATAGACTGGTACCGTAGATGCTTCTCAGGAACACAGGCAAGCAGCCCACAACCTAGAGGGACTGTCAATGATAGAAGAAAGAT